TGCAAGTCCCAGCTTGGAGGGCAGGGCCCTCCCAGCACAATTATAGCCAACAGCTATAGTTGTAAGCTTGAACCTATGGTCCGAACACGTGGCCCCATGTGCCTGAGTGATGTAGGCTTTATAGAGTTCAGGTGCATGTAGTTGAGTAGGATTGAAACCCAGGAGAATGTTGTAAACATCTTGGTCACGCCCTTACTTTGCCTCATAGCATCTGCTATAAAATAAAGGCATGGCTGTGGGCGTGGTCACTGTCTCTCAGAGAAGCAGTGTCCCACTGAGACCCAGCTTTCATTCTCTTGTCTGTCTTTTCTAAGCCTTTCAGCTGCCCCCACTCAGGTTCACCCTTGGCTGTGCTGGCGCAGCACACTTTATAAAGATAATGCCTCCACACTACCAGGGCGGGTTCCTGCCTCAAACCCCGCCCTTAAAAGAAACAGCTCCAGGAAACAGCTTGGGGGAGGGCGCAGCCGTTGCCAAGACAACCCCTACAGGACTGACTTCCTTCTGCTTGGTCGTGGTTCTGGTTGTGATGAACACCACCCAGGGTTTTTATATAAGTAGTTAGATTCTTGAAGACTGTTTTTACCCCAAACAGCCACTTAGGGTCTCACACTGTCAAAGAGATCTTGACTCCCCCCCCCCCAGAGATCTTAACTTTCAATTTGCTTTAAACACAGTATTTTCCCCTCTAAGCTTTAAGGGAAGTCTGAAGTTCCAATAACAAGGAAGCCTGTGCCATTTCTCTTGTCTGTCCCCTGTGGCACAGGAAATAGCTTCCTAATAATAGACACATTATGAAGGGCATCAGGCAGGCAGCTGTCCCAGGGCTCCAGACCCCACCACTTGTTGCTGGTTTCTGAGGTTTGCAGTGTAAGTTCTGAGGGGTGCACATGGCTGTTTAGTTAAACCTGTTTGTGCTCTGAGGTGCTATAAAAATCTGTCAGGTACCTGAGCTAGACAGGTCTGACATAAAAAAACCAACTAGCCATTCCCCACTCTCCCCACTGACCCAACAAACAAACCAAAATCTGGCAAGCAGCACCTTCTAGAAGTGGGTGATTCCACTGTGGCCTTCTTTTTTATTGTTGTTAATCTTCACCCAAGGATATTTTTTCCATTGAATTGTAGAGAAGAAGAGAGGGAGGAAAGGAGGGGAGAGAGAAGGAAAGAGAGAGAGACATCCTTTGGTATGTGAGCCAAGGCTCTAACCACTGGAAGCACAGCCCTGGGCCCACTGTGGCCTTCTATTGTGTCTATTATTGCACCATTTAGGGGGACTGAGCTGAGGAAGTAGGGATTCCAAGTCTTAATTCCAATTTATTTCCAAATGTTTATGATTTTTTCCCTTCTCCTCTGGTGTCTGACCTTGAGAAGAGGTTATAATAATGAGAACAGCAATAATAACTACAGTAAATATCAATAGCTACTTTTTATTTAGTGTTTACTATGTGTGACATACTGTGCTAGGCATGTTTTATCTATTTTCTCATCAGAACTAACCTGGTGAAAAAAATCTTCCTTCTACAGAGAAGAAAACCAAGACTCAGAAATATTAGGTACCTTGCCCACAGCCCAGATTCAAAGTCAGCCTAAATTCCCTCCCAAACCAGTACTCTTTTCCACATAACATGTTTTCCTAAAAGACAGAAGTCTGTCTCCTAACCACATCATGCTGGGAGTCTCCCCTTCTCATCTATAGGAGAAGATAGACAATTGTAATATAACATGGTCAGTATGACAGAGGGTACCATGGGAGCATGATATGATTGCTGAACCCTGGTTCACTTTCCCTTCTTCACTATTTCTGGGCTCCTGCATGGGCTCAGCTTCCTTTATGGCTCTTTGCTGCCCTCTGCTGTTCACCTGGGGGAAATCATGGCATCTACAGGATAATCTGGATTTCCTTGGGCTGATTTGACCTTCAGCAGAGCCTTGTTTTTAGGCCTTGCAGAGGGGAAGTAGGTCTGCCGTGAGCAATGGGAAGATTATTCCTTATAAATAAAAAAATATGAGGGTTTGGGGCTTCTTTTCTCTAGAAGTCTCTTGTAATTTTCTAGAAATAACTGACTCGGGGGTTTTTATGCAAG